GTAGATGAGGAACAGCTGATCCTCCTGGAACAGGGACCTCTGGCTGACTAGATTTACCAGAAGGGCAGATAGGGGGGAATAGATGGGGCTCTTGACAACACAGTGGACAGTGGCAGGGATGACAGAGTATCGAGGCTCTAGTGGGAGAGGAAGGCTGTCTATCTGACGAGTTTATATTTATACTCAGATGCCAAGGAACTCAGAAAGTAAGCGACTGTGACCAGTAATAGTCATATGTATAGAGATGCATGTGAAATGTGAAAACGTCTCAATGTCAATTGCCTTAAAATGAATTTTTCTGTATGAAACTGTGTATTTTAACAACTAAGTGGAGATCTTTTTTAAATGTCAAAAACTCATTTAATTTTATGTCTTTTATAATGAGTTTCTTAAAAAAAAAAAAAAAGAACATGACTAAAAAAAAAATGGCAAAGGTTAAAAATAAGAATACTTGTGGCTAATGATGGATCCAATAAATAATTTTCACATAAAAAAAATATATAGAACAATGGAACAGAACAGAAAATCAGACATGAACGCATACAACTACAGGCATCTGATATTTCCTTTCTTTTTAAATTTTTTTTCATGTTTTATTTATTATTTTTATTTTGTGTGTATGTTTATATTGCCTGTGTATAGGTAAGTACACCCGTGTCATACAATACCCGCAGAGGACAGAAGAGGCTGTGGGATCCTCTGGAACTGGAGTTATGGGGACAGTTGTTAGCTGCCATGTGGGTGCTGGGATTAGAATCCGGGTCTTCTGCAAGAACAACCCGTGTTCTTAACCACTGAGCCATCTCTCCAGCCCTGCATCTTATATTTTCAAAGATGCTAAAACACTAATTGAAGAAAAGATAGTCTCTTTAATGGTGCTAGGAAGAGTGGAGAGTCATATGCAGAACAGTAAAATTAGAGCTTTATCTCTCACCTTGCTCAAAAAATCAACCACAGGGCTGGTGAGATGGCTCGGCAGGTAAAAACACTTGCCATACAACCCTGATGACTTGAATTTAATCCACAGAGCCCACATAAAAAGCGGAAAGCAGTGACATGGATCTACATGGATCTGTAACCCCAGCATTTCTACGGTGAGATGGGAGGTAGAGAATTGAACAGAAACTAGTACAGGCTAGCTAGCCTGGAGTGTGCGGTGTGGCAGAAACATCAAAAGACCTTGACTCAGGGCTGGAGAGCTGGTCAAGGGATTGGGGACTCAACCAAATAGTCAAGACCTTGACTAAAGCAAAGTGGAAGGAGAGAAATGTCACAGGAGTCAAAAAAAAAAAAAATCCCTTAAAACTGCTCAAAAGTATAAGCTGCTCTGGCCTGGATGAAGACCCAACTTTCCACTTTTGCCCTTGGTTACAGATCCACCCCTAGGAAGGCAGGTTCACCTTAAGTCATGCAAAAGAGATGGGTGCAATATGCTGGGCTTTTCCTGCCTAGAATCCCCTCCCTTTAGCAGGTCTTGTGGCTTGCATCCTGAGCGGACATGTGGCTCTCTGAATTTTGCCGGCTTTTTTGAATTCTTCAGAAAAGTGTAATCTCTCATTTTCTTCTTCATATCCCTTTTCTAACCATGCTTTTCTTATTGCTTTGGGCTGCCCCAGTGTTTTGGGTTTCTATATCTTTTTCTCTACAATTCCCTTCCCCTCTCCATCATGTAGCTGCTAGTCTTCCACGTGGTGTCTGTCTGACCTCCATGTGAGCTGGTGATGGCAGTTCATTGACAATAAGATGGTTGATAAGAACTTTGAACCTTGGAAGGGACCAAAATAAGATAGGAAGAAATAAGGAGAGAATGTGGAAGGTAAACAGGAATCTGCCTTCATCCCCGTAGTTTTTCTTTTTTTCTTAAAGTGGACCATTGAAATCTTTGCCAAACTGCCACATTCTCATGGTCTTTTGTCCTGTGATCTTTTGTAACCACATGTTTATGTGTAACCACTTGCTTTATTACCACATTACCATATATATATACATATATATGTATATATATATATGCTACTTGCTTGCTTAAACTCCCATAATGACAATAAATTTCCCTAAAAATGTGAGCTGGGGACTGGCGGTGTTACAGAGTGACCATGTGTCGATCCAGGGGTGTAAATAAACTCCCTCTCCTTCACCTGGCCCGATCTCCTGATTTCCAGAAGTTCCTGCAACAAGCTCTAAGTAGGCATGACTTTATGTCTTTTTCCTTCTCCCCTTCGTTCCCTTCCTGAAGACAACTGCTGAGATTTACAGCTTGGCTGCCCTGAGGATTGTTCCTTAAATTGTAATACAATTGTTCTAAAGCTTTGGCTTGAGTCTATCCTTAAAATTTATTTATTTATTTAATCAATCAGACTAAAGACCCTCTAGGGGACCCTGATCTCCCTTGTATCAGAAGCAACTTCCAAAAGTTATTTTTAGCCAACAATTGACCCATGGGATCTCATTAAATTGAAAAGCTCTGTACACCAAATGAAACAGTTAATTGAGTGAAGAGACAGTCTACAGAAGGGGAGAGAAATCATTGCCAGCTGTACGTTCAACAAAGTATTAATATCTTGACTAGATAAAAACTCAAAACAAACAAACAAAGAAGTTTCCTTATGCAGCAGATGGTGATTAACACAGAAACCCACACTGGCCAATGTGCAGTGAACAAGAGACTGCAGAGTGCTTACCCCTGAATAGGACACCTATATCAACCTTCTGCTGCCCAAGACTCAGGGACCATTGTGGAAGAGGCAGCAGACAGATTGTAAGAGCTAGAGGTGGTGGAAGACCACAAGGAAACAGAGTTTTCCAGACAGGTGGTCAGTTACTCATATGAAATCATCACAATGGTGACAGCATGCACAAGTCCCATTAGAGCTCAAATCAGAAAATATCCCAACACATAGACATGGGGAAGTGGGTAAGAAACCCCAACCAAGCCTAAAGAAATTTTGGCAACTGATGGCTGCTGGTAGGGGCAGAGACAGTCTCTTTCAATCATGGGACTCTTGGTAAGCTAACCAGGCTCCAGTAGATGGACCCACAGTGAAAGACATTTGGGGATACAAATTAGACAGATTTCAATCACCCCAAATTCCATTTTCTATCATGATGATAATTTCATAAAGTTCAAAATGTACTGTATGAAAATCAAAAAATCTAAAAACAAGAAACAAGCCAATCAGAAAATGGGCTAAAGCACAGGGCTGAGAGATCTCTAAATTAAAATAAATAAATAAATAAATAAATAAATAAAATAAAGATTAAAATAAAATAAAAAGAGAGAGAAAGAAAGAAAAGTAAATGGCCAATAAATGTTTTTTAAAGTATTCTAGATCGTGGGGCTGGAGAAACGGCTGGAGAGAGAGTGGTTAAGAGCATTGACTATTCTTGCAGAAGACCTGTGTTCGAATCCCAGGACCCACATGGCAGCTAACAATTGTCTGTAACTCCAGTTCCAGGGGATCCAACAGCCTCTTCTGTCCTCCATGGGCATTGCACAACCCAGGTGCACTTACCTACATGCAGGCAAAACACTCATACACATAAAACAAAAATAATAAGTAAAATATTTTTAAAAAATATTTCAAAATTCTGTCCCACCTCAGTCAGAATGTTTATTGTCAACACAAAAGCACAATGCTCACTTTGAAGGGTAAGATAAGAGATAGATTATTCTAGAGCCAAATTTGAGTAACCAAGGTCTGGAAACACAGATTTCTGTCACCCCAAATTCCATATTTTATCATGGTAATAATTTCATAAAGTTCTTATAGCAATAAAACAAAGAAAGCCATAAATCCAGGCACTTTTCAAACACATGGTTGCAAACATTAGTAGGTGGTTACAGCAAAAGAGAACTGTGAGCTACAGGCCTCAGATTCCCTCTGATGATGCTCAGCCTTTTGGTTGGTGAAAGCTGGGGCTTTGGGGGTGGGGGTGGGCTGGAAAGATGGCTCTGTGGTTAAGAGCACTGTCTGCTCTTGCAGAGGTCCTGGGTTTGATTTCCAGCACTCACATGGTGCCAACAACTATCTGTAACTCTAGTTCTAGGGCATTCAACACCTTCCTCTGACCTCCGTAGGCACTGTACCTCAGTGCACTGCAGGGCATGGGTTCACCTATCCACATACAGGCAATACACTCATACACAGAAAATTAAAATAATAAATAAAAATTTTTAAAATTAATACACTTCAAAAAATTTTGTTTTGTTTTGTTTTGGTGTTTTGAGACAGGGTCTCCCTGTAGTCCACATTGGACTAGAACTATGTAACCTGGAGTTATATATACCAGGCCTGCTTCTACGTCACAGAGATCTTCTGCCTCTGTCTCCCAAGTGTTGGATCAGTGTCATGCACCACCATGCCTGGCTCAAAAGGTTTTTATCTGTTAGTCACAGAATATTAACTCAGAAACAGAGTCAGGCAAGGAGTGGCTATTTAGGGGGCTAAAGATAGCCCAAGATAAATGGTAATTAGGCTCTGTACCTGCAACATTCCAAACTCTCCATAATCACTGAAGTTCTAATTAATTGATGACCCTTGTAGAAGGTTTGGTTTGAAGATGCACATTTTGTTCTCAGATTTTTTGTTCACACTATCATTAAGAAAAAATTTTATGGCAAATACAGGAGACAGTGCAGAGAAAGAGGAACACTTCTTTACTGTTAGTGGGTATGTAAACTGGTGTAGCCACTATGGAAACCTGGGCGGAGGTTCCTCAAGAAACTAAAAACAGAACTACCACATGGCTCAGCTATGCCACTCCTAGGGATCTTATTCAATGGGCTTTGAATCCTAACCTGGGGATACTTGAATATCCATGCTTATTGTTACCCTAGTCACAACAGCTAAGAAACAGAATCAGTCTACATGCCCATTAGCAGATGAATGGATAAAGAATGTGGCACATATATATAATCAGTCATAAAGAAGAATGAAATTATGAAGTTTGCAGGAAAATGTATAGAACTAGAAAATATACTAAGTAACCAAGATTCAGAAAGACAAACACCATACATTCTCTCGTAGTTTCCAATGTGTGTGTGTGTGTGTGTGTGTGTGTGTGTGTGTGTGTGTATTGTTGATGCAAAAGCATAACTCTTGCCTCAAAGGGACGAGAGAGTTTGTCTTGGAACTAAATAGGAGTGATTATGGCTGGGAACACAGATTTAGATGACCCCAAATTCCGTGTTGTAACATGTTAACAGTTTCATGAAGTTTTTATAATAACAGAACAAAGAAAAGACGTAGATCAAGACACTTTAAATACATTGGTGTAAACAGTAAGTGGGTAGTTACAGCAAAAGAGAAATAAGCCTCAGATACTATCTGAGGTTAAAGAATGCCCTATCTGTGGTTATGAATCAAAATAGTTATTAAAGGAATAATCACAAGTGGAAGCCAGGAAGTCCATGCAGAGTTTTGAAATAATTTTGAAGTAAAATTATTGAGAGAAGGGAGTTGAGGGTAAATAGTAGAGTTAATGATGGAACGGCATCAGAAAAGGGAGACAAGGTTTAACCAAGAGGAAGCCTGATCTGTTCTGAGGAGTTCGAATTTCTCTCAGACCTGTTCTACTACCAACTGTGTGATGGCACAGGGGAAAACAGATGATGAGTGATGCCCAGGACTTTGGAAATCTTTGCTGCAGCTCTTCTGCAGATGCTCTCAGGCACAGAGATCAGTGAAGACCACATGGACTCCAGAGTTAGAATCCAGTTCCCTCAGCTGGCCTGGGCTTCCTTCCATCAAGCACCTCTCTTAGAATGGCCCATCAGCATCTGCGTCCTCATTCACAGAATACAGAAACTGGACATGGATGTAAGAGTCACAGTGGTTTAGAGTTCATGCTGTGTGACACTCAACGTGCACTGGGAGGACCAAGTAAGACAGTGAAAATGCAGAGATCTGTGAGGAAAGCGCAGTGGTCGAGGTGGGATCCGCAGTCAGGAGTCACGAAGCTTTTGATTTCAGACAGGCTTTAGCTTCTTTTGGCAGATCCAGGAATTGTCTGAAGAGCAGCTCTCAGAAATCACGTTTGTCTTTGAAATGAGAGCACAGCTGTTTTCTTTCACTTCACCTGTGATTTGTAATCTGAGGAGGAAAGAAAAGCCACTGTCGGTGACTAGGAGTTTCTCATAGTTGTCCTGTCAGCCATTTTTTTCCCTTTAGCTTTTTAAGTAGGCTATGCAGTAAGCATAGGAAATACATAGTCACAAACATAAGCATATGTGAACATTAAAGATAGAGCTAATAGCAACCTCTAGAATTCAGTCTCACCTTCACTGGAGAAAAAAAAATCCTTCCAGAAAGAAACTTTAAATGATATATCAAAAGGAAAAGGTTTGGAAAGTCAGGATTAATTCTTCTGCTATTAACATGTTTTGTGATAAGATTCTTCATTTTGTTAAGCTTCAGTTTTCCTAAACGCATAGGTTTAACTAGTTAATGTTTGAGGAGGGTGTTGAGACACACACGAGCATGTCATGATCCAGTACATTTCTGGATCATGGTCTACAGAATTTGAGGCAGAGAGAAAAAGAGGCCCAGCCCATGTGAAACAGCTGAGGTTCTTTTATTCTTACCCCAGAGGCTAGCGAGTACTTGCTTTAAGAAAACAATAGTTTTAAACACTCAGTGGTTCTGGTGACTCACTGCAGGTGGAATGAGATTAGAACTCAACCATGCATGAGCATAGGCCGAATAAGGGTTGACTAGAAGGGAGAGAGATGAGCTCAAAACTTGCTGATTTGTCTTAAGCAGAAGGTACCTCATGGCAGTAATTTCCTTCAAAACTGTCCTTTTTCCTTTGCTCATCTCTTCATGGAGCCCCTTGGGCCTCAGCAGCAACTCTTAATGTATCCTAGTGCCCAGTATGATAGTCAAACCATGATTCCTTCAATGGGGCTGCTGTGACCCTCCCCTGTCTTGTTTCTTCCATCTTTTGGGTTCTTTCTTCATTTTTCAGGATAATTTCTTTAAGCCTCATCTGTTCAAGTCAATGATTTCCCTTCAGAATGCCTTTAATAGCTTCCCAAGCTAAATATAGAAACTTAATCGATGGGCTGGAGAGATGGCTCAGTGGTTAAGAGCACTGACTGCTCTTACAGAGGACCCTGGTTTGATTCCCAGCACCCACATGGCAGCTATGAACAATCCTTAACTCCGGTTCCAGAGAAATCCGAAGCCCTTTTCTGACCTCCATGGCATTGCACGACATAGGTGCACTTACATACATGCAGGCAATATACTCATACATATAAAATAAAAATAATAAATAAAATATTGTTTTAAAATTTTTTCTAAAAAAAGAAACTTAATTGAATCCTGTATGTTTTCTCATTTGAAAGAAAAACATACCCTGCTCTTTTCTGTAAAGGATGCAGCCCAACTAAGAAGGATCATCTCTCTTATTGCATTCATGGTTATTGTGATGCTCTTACACAATAAGAAAATGATGAGATACCAAAAGGTAAACAGCTAATGGCTCCTTTGTGATCTACATCTATGGTTATGGTGTGGATACCAACTATGCCCCCAAAGAGTCATGTGATGGGATCTTCACTTGCTGTTGGATCCTCTCAAATACTGAGAGATGATCGGGTCATGAATGTGCTTTAACTAACTAACTAACTAACTAACTAACTAACTAACTAACTAATAACTAACTACTAACTAACTAACTAACTAACCCAAACAGGGTGAGGTCTCACTGGGATATGTAAGAGAAAGGGACCTTGGACCCTTTTCCATTTTCTCTTTTTCTTGTCCACACTGAGGTGAGTAACTTTGCTTGGTTTTGCATGGGAGGAAGCAAACTACAGGCTGAGACCTCTTGATCTTTCCTTTCTAAAGCTATTTTACAAAGTTATTTTGTCACAGTGATATAAAGCTAATTAACACATATATGTTCACCATATCCCCTCAAATAACCATGTCTGTCCTGACACTGATTAAGGTACACCACAAGCTGTGCCTATGTGAGAAGCTCCTTTCAGGTGTCAAAGTTTTGATATTTACTGCTTCTCTCTTCATACTCATTTTTTCTATGCTGGTTATGATCTGAGAAATTGGTCTCATGACTCACTTCAGTACATTTTGCCACAACTGAAAAGTAAGTGCTTAAGTAAAAGTAATGATATGTAAAAGGTAGAAAGCAGAGAGGAAAGAAAAAGAAAGAAAGAACGGGAAAAGAAAAATCAATCTTACGTGTCAGTAGACTCTAGATAGACATTAAAAAACCGCGACTCCCCAAAGGTGTTAAAAGTTAGTCTGTTCCTTGTCCCTTTCTGAGGTGGGTAACGTGGGAGGTAGGGTTGCTCTGTAACCCCAGATGGCTTGGAACTCACTGTGCAGACTACACTGGCCTTAATCTTGCAGAGCTCTGACTGACTCTGCTTCCTGCGTGCTTAGATTAAAGGCTATTCCTTGTCTTTTAAAACTCCATTGCAGATAAGACACACACACACACACACACACACACACACACACACACACACACACCAGTCACACACAAAGTGCTGATATCTTTGAAAACTTCAACCAACTTTGAAATAATTTTCTCAGTTTGCTTGGAACCTGTCAAGAATTTCTAAACCAATTACATTTACAAAATTCAATTTTCAACAAACCTGATATGAACTGAATATTCAAATGAGCTCATTTAATACTTACATATGAGAATTTAAACTAGAGTCATTTATCCATTTCCAGGTACTTTTTGACACCATAGCTTTTAGCCCAATCCAAAATAATTTTTCTGTTTTCTTTGCCAAGTCCTGTATGTATCTCTATAATTAAAATAGAATAAAGAAGTTCATACTGAATTTGTTTATTCATGACTTGTATTCTATGAATCTTCTTAAGCTGAGTTCAACTATCATCTGTTTGAAGTCTTTCCTGAGTCCTCATCAGAGTTAATTCTTTGTGTGTGAAACCTCTGTCTATATTTATATTTATAGTATATTTGTCATATTATATAGCTGGTTATTGTCATATTTATGAATGGCTACTCAGATTATGAATTGCTTGAAGTCAAAGTCTCTACTTCTTTTGCATGGACAGATGGCCAAAGACCAGAAATACTGATACAGCTTTTAAAAGTTCTAAATTCTAACAGGTAATTTTATTTAATAATTTACCAGTTCGTCTTGATCTTGAATAAGCAGCAAAGTGGCTTCTTTTGAAGAGCAGTCATTTGAACTGTTATCCCAAGTTTGGGAAGCTTGAGAAAAAAATAAGCATTTATCTGTATAAAGACCCCAATCTGTTGGGCACTTTAATATAGCTGTTCTCTCTAAAGTAAGAAAGAAAAAAATGTTATATTTCTGCCCTGCCTCAGTCTGCTGCACCACAACCAGTCATTCACAATAGTTTCTTTACCAGCACACATTTTTATTAGCACATATTAGAATAAGATTGATGTTGTCACACATCATCAAAGAATATACTGATAATTCATTTGATGTTTTGTTTTTATTACTTAACTTCAAATTAACTGTTTGCTGTGCTCATTAAAATAATCAAATATTACACTTAGGCATTATTTTAATTTAAAATTTTGTGTGAGGAGGATGTGCACATGGGCGCAGGTGCCTTCCCTCAAGATCCCTGGAGCTGGAGTTATAAGCAGTTGTGAGCCAACCGATGTGGGTGCTAGGAATTGAACTGTGTAAGAGCAGCAAGTGCCTTTTAGAGTGAGCCATCCCTCCAGCCCCCAAGCACATTTTGCTTTTAATTTGACATTTTCCTATTAATGGTCAAGTGTGCTAGCAGCCTGAGGTACTATGGCCTGGTGGTTAAGAGCGTAAGCTTCAGGGTCGCTCAACTTCTGCGCAATTTCCAGCATCATCACTCAACCAGTAGCTTAACCCTCTTACGCTTCTTAAACATAAAATCATGGTGATAAAGTTGTCTTCATGGATGGGTTGTTGTGAGCATTAACGGAAGGTAACATAATCTCTATCAGATATCACCTGTCATTAGGAAATTCAAGTCACATACCTGTTATTTCAGTCATGTTTTCTTGAACAACCACACTATTTTTTTCTATCGATGACCTTTGTATCAAGATTTGCACTAGTAAATAAGAGAATACATGAAGAGGATTAAATACTGACATAAGTGTTAGAATGGATGTTGTATTTGTCACTTCAGGAAATCCAGTTATCTTGATGAACTTGAATGTGGACAGAAGATAAAAGTATTAGCAATGTGTTAACAAAGGATCCAGTCTGGAGATAGAATGAACAAGAAGAGCTCAAACATGTGAACTCACTCAAGTCACCCCAGGGGCATTACTGAAACTCTTAAATTGTTCCCACTCGTGCCTGAACTCTCTCATCTTCAGAATGACTGCACTCATACCAACTCTGAGAGAAAGATGGTCAACTGCCACCAGAAGTTTAGTAGGCATGAATAGACTAAATATTTGGCATTTTCATTTTCTTTGTTAATGTCTTTTTCTCACGATTGTGGCCTTTTTTTTTTTTTTTTAAAGTTCTGGGTTCACATGCATCATGCTCCGTAATGATTCTCAGAACAATTAAGAAGAGATATATGCAAAAAATGTGACGTTTTCACAGTGGACGTGGGGTATTGTCCTATAATTTTTTATTTCATTGATCTTCCCCCAGGTTCAAGGTGGCCAAATCATGCGAAGAGGCTGTAACATTTACGATGGAAATAGAGTAAAAATGCTAAAGTGAAAGATCTTGCCTCACTTACCTGAGACACTCAACCCAATCACACTCAAGACAAGAAGGATCAGCCCAGCACAGCCGAGTTTCAGAGCCCACTGATGCCAACTTGGGCACTGACAGGCATCTGAGAAGTTAAAAAAATGCAATTAAAAAATGAATTAAAAAGTGTTTAATTCAGTTGAGTGTATCTGGAATAAAAGTCGGAGATGGTTTGAATATCTTGAACAACTGGATCAAGTTGAGAGTCAGGTACAGAAAAAAAACTTTCTCAACTGTCTTAGTGTGGAGTTCAACAGGATGAATTCTGCTAAGTCCAACTAAGTGTTTGCTCTGATAAAATAGGAAACTATTTGTATATGACTTATGTAAAAAGGAGTGTTATGAGAATCAGAGTTGATAGATAAAAAGATTTTTGAAAATTGCTGAGTGCTGTGTAGAAATAAAGCACATGTCCTTTCGTGGATGAGAGCCAAAGCTTTTCCTTTGAGAAGGGGATTCTTCATTTATTTAAGATGCATTTTTAATGCTTGGTTTTGTGCTAAGTATTCCTTTTTGTGCTGGTGACATAGAATTCTCTTCATGGATGGGTTCGGCTATACTGTTGTCTAGAACAATCTTCTCCAACTTGGATCAAAGATCTGGCATTCAAGGAAAAGCATTCTGTGAACCAGCCCGCTGTTTGTAATATTTCAACTCCATTACTGACAGGGGCTAAGTTCCAAGTACCCGAAGGATGACTGCAGATGGTAACAGACTGTATGTGCACCTGTATCAGTTACTTACTGTTGCTGTGATAAAACATCATGACCAAGGCAGCTTATAGAAGGAGTAGTTTATTTGCCCTATGGTTCCAGAGGCATAAGAGTCCATTATGACAGGGAGGCATGGTAGGAGGCAGCTGGAGCAGAAAGCTGAGTGCTCACATGTCCAAGTAGGCAGAGGAAGCAGAGAGAGACACATTGGAAGTGGGCAAGGCTATAGACTCTCAAAGCCCTCACCCCAAGAGATGTGCTTCCTCCAGCAAGGCCATGCTTCTTAAAGGTTCCATGCTCCTCCCCAAACAGCTCCATGAACTAGGGACCCAGCAAGTGTTCAAATAGTTGGTACTTATGAAGGGCATTTTCATGCAAACTACCACCACACTATTTTACAAACAGCTATACAAACACACAGAGAATTGTTCAACTTAACTATGTGCATACCACACACTGTGGCTATAAATTTCAGAGTTTGATGTGTGGCAGCAAAAACAGTTTTTTGTTTTTGTTTTTTTCTTAGAGTATTTTCTCACCTTTTATTTAAAGGAAGCACATTGTGGCTTCTCTTTGGCTTCTCTTTTTCTGCTGGCACAGCTAGGCTGCCAGCATCACTACTTTTATACTTTGAGGTCATTATTCAGTAAAAATAAGTTATTTTCACACAAGCACTACTCGTTGGTGGGTAGCAAGGTGTGATTTATGTCTTGGTCACGATGGTGTAAGATTATATCATGATGCTCAGAACAGTGTATACCTTAAAGCATATGGGTTGCTTATTCCTGGAATTTTCTATTGAATGTTTTTAGACTTGTTGACCTAAGGAAACTGAAACTACAGTGAGGAATGAGGATGTAGCATAACATACTGTGCCTCCAGTCCTGTGCTGCCTAAACACCATGTCAGAGAGCTGTGCTTTTCTTGGTAATCACGTGATCGTTTATATAAAGAGCACCTCATGTTTATCAAAAGTGAAATAGTTTAAATTATGAAACAGGCTCATAAATATCACAACTTTGTCAATTTGTTTTGCTTTTAGACAACCTTAAAAGCATGGGTTTCAGATGGAAAATAATAACAAGAATTTTATTTATAAAAACAATATGGAGACATTACCTCCCTCAAGATTTAATTTAATTACAACCCCCCCTTTGCTCTCTTTGATTTCTAACATTACGTTTATTACCACTGTGAATGTTTTTCTAAATTATGCTATTAGATTCAAGTATTATTCTAAGTAAAGCATTCCCAGATGCTTTTTGTTTTGTCCTATTTTTAATATGGAGTTCCACATAGCCCAGGCTGGCCTCAAACTTGTGATGCAGTCAAGACTGGCTTTAAATTCCTCATGCCCCTGGTTCCACCTCTTAAGTGCTGGGATTATATATCTGCATCACCATGCATGGTGGGGTTTCCAAATTTCTGTAGCTACTGACTGATTTCTACTTTTTGTTAGTTTTTATATTTTTTTGAAATATTTTTAGTGTAAATGATAACATGTCTTGAGATGTGTTAAAAAATTTAAATCAGATATGCTACAAAATTATTTTTTAGTTTAAATATATGTCCCAGAACAGCCTATATGTTCATTTCTATTTTTCTATTTATTTCCATTTTTAAGTATATATACAGCATACTTTGATTATATTCAGTCTTCTTCCCCTATTTCTACCCCAACCTTCTTACCCTTCACCCAATTTCATATCCTCTATTATTTAAGGTTTATCAAGTCAAATTTCTGTCCACAAGTGTTCTTCAGTGTCCCTCTCTTCCTCCTTCCTTCCTTCCTTCCTTCCTTCCTTCCTTCCTTCCTTCCTTCCTTCCTCCCTCCCTCCCTCCCTCCTTCCTTCCTTCTTTTCTCTCTCTCTTTCTCTCACTCTCGCTCTCTCTTTCTTCCTTTTTTCTTTTCTTAACATTTATATCTGAAAACTGATTGTATAACCCAGATTGCAGACATATACTAATGATGTTTGGCCAATTACCATAAAGAAGTTCACATTCTTAGCTGGATGTGGTGGCGCATGTCTTTAATCCCAGCACCTGGGAGCCAGAGGCAGGTGGATCTCTGAGTTCAAGGCCAGCCTGGTCTACAAAGTGTGTTCTAGGCCAGCTGGGCTACAGGGAGACCCTGTCTCAAAAAGACCCCCCAAAAAAGTTTCCATGTGGGGGGTGTATATTTAGCTTTCTCTAAGAAAGGAAAAGAGCTCATCTTCTTTTGAGGAAGTTACCACTTTTAAAATAGTTGTTGAAGAGAAAGAATAAAAGGAGGAGAGGGAGAAGGAGAGGAAAACGGAGAACAGGGAGAGGAGAGGAAAGGCGAGAGAAAGAACAAAAACATTCCCAAGGAGACAGAAGATAGTCCTCCTTATTCTTAAGGTCTGTATCTGTAGAACCAACTTACTGCTGACTAAAAGTATTCACACACACACGAAATTCAACTGTATTAAACATTTACAGACTTTTCCCTTGTCATTGTTCTCTAAATAAATACAGTACAGGGGCTGGAGAGATGGCTCAGCGGTTAAGAGCAGCGGCTGCTCTTACAGAGGACCTGGGTTCAATTCCCAGCACCTACATAGCAACTAACAACCATCCATAACTCCAGTTCCAGGGGAATCTGACACTTTCTTTTGACCTGTATAGGCATTGCACAACATGGGTGCACTTTTACATACATGCAGGCAAATACTTATACACACAAAATAATAATAATAATATTAGTAAGTAAAATATTTTTTAAATTCTTGAGTATAGTATCTGGCACAGAGTACTAGTCAATCAATAATAGTTTTCATTTTTCTGAAAGAGTTTTGTCAACTAAAAGGCAAAAGGATATTTGAGTGACTTTAAAAAGTGTTACTCCTTCATGTTAAAATTTAAAGAACTGCATAAACCACCCTGTCTTGGACGAGGCTCACTGTCCTACTAATGTTATTCTGGCTGAGATTAGGCCTGGGAAGTTACCACTGACCACTGAAGAGGCCACATGAACTTTAGTTACCAGGAAGCACCTCCTTAGGGCTTCCTGGAAGACTCTTCCTCAGATAGCCAGACCTTGTCCCTGGCTTGGTTCAGGAAAACAAAGACTTGCTTTTTCTTATAAAAAATAACCAGTTTGGAACCAATGAGATGGTTCAGAGGGTAAAGACACTTGCCACCAAGCCTGACAACTCCAGTTCCTGGGCCCCAAATGATGGAAGGAGAAACCATCTCCCCAGTGTCCTCTGACCTTCATACCTGTGTCATCACATGCATAAACCCACACGCATACATACATCTAAATAGAAAAATATAATAATAAATTTAAAAATTAGCTCAATCAGCAGGGCGTGGTGGCACACGCCTTTAATCCCAGCACTTGGGAGGCAGAGGCAGGTGGATCTCTGTGAGTTCAAGGCCAGCCTGGTCTACATAGAGAGTTCCAGAACAGCTGGAGCTACAGGGAGACCCTGTCTCAAAAAGATAAAAACAAATTAGCTTAATCAAATTCTATACACACATATAACACATATAAATGAATAATAAATGTAATAGTAATTTTTAAAACTACCTTAATAAAAGCCTTGCTAGAGTTATCAAAATCCTCTACTTTCCTTTGACTTTACAGTAAAGACTGTAAGGAAGTTTATTTGTTGGCTCTAAGACTTTTTTCCTGACTTAAAGAAGTAACTAAGAAATAGCTTGATTACACTGCTTTCTTTAAGAAGTAACATGATTACATTAAAAACTTTGTATAGGTTGGAGAATTTAGAAAAGAGGTGAATGTTAAACTTAAATTGTAGGAACAGTGACAAATTTCACATTATTGTTGAAGTTTGGCAGTACAGTTTTGTCAGTAAATAATGTTCAAAAATTATAGCAGACATATAGAATTTCATTACATGTTTTTAGTTTGAAGTTTTGATCAGCTTAGTTATTACTGTACTTTGTATTTCTTCTTCTTCCTCTATATTCTTCTTCTTCCTCTTTTTTAAACTTCCCAGACTGACTTTTATCTCTAGAGGTTCGATTAAAGCATAGGTGAAGACACACTAGGGCTATGGAAGAGTAATAGACAAATAATGGAAAACCTCTTGGTGCCTGGGAATGGGAAGGTCCAACATCAAGGCCTGAATACCCAGGACTACATGTGGCATGAGGGCCACAGCTGGACCTAAGGGGATGTAAGAGGTCTGTTCTAGAGAATCAGTCCTCCCAAGACCAGAATCGGCAAATAACAGAGGCCTCCCCTGTCCCCAGCATAAGAGACAAAGATGTAATCTGGGACCTCAGAGGAAGAGGCTCTGGGGAATGCAGTCTCTCAGAGAAGACTGAAACTGCTGCCCGACATCAGGAAGTCCTCCTTAGTCTGCTCTACCATCAGCCTAGCACCAGAGAAATGTGGAACTGTGACTCATGGTAGAGGTTCAAAGTTTCAGGCTCATGTGAGGGAATCAGCACTTCAATTCACAAGAGAGAACCACAGCTCCAGCTCATAGGAGGGGACCAAAACTCTAGTTCACAAGAGAGGACCACAACTCTAGGCTCACAGGAGGGGACGACAGCTACAGCTCACAAGAGAGGACCACAGCTCCAGATTCACTGAAGGGGGACACAGTTCTAGCTCACAGGGGGGAACCACTGATTCCAGGTTCACAAGAGGGGAACACAACTCTGGCTCACAGGAAGCGACTGCAACCCTAGCTCGCAGGAGGGGATCTCAGCTCCAGGTAACTTAGAATTTTTGACAGTTTAGCAGTTTCTAACAAGCAACCCAGAAAAGTCGTGATTCACATGTTACAATGTAGAAAGAATATAAAATTGTAAAACAAATTATTATTGACAATAATATGTTCAGTTAGATTGCAGAACATTTTATTATATCATGATCATTTTATACACATTTTCTGCCTCAACTTCTGGTCTCTTTTCATCCTTCTCCAGGCCATGTTGTCCTTTATCTATTACCTCATGTCAGCCTTCCCTGATTCTTACACTCAGATTATTAAATCCTCTGGTTAGCCAAGTGCTAATTTCAGTCAGTATTAGATAAGTTAATTACTGATGAACTCCAATATCTTGTGGCTTAACCATCTAAAGTTGTTATATTTTCAAGATAGAAAGAACCAGGTTGGAATTCAAGTCTTTGATTTTCATCTGTGACTTTTTCCCATACACCACTCCCTTCCTTTTAGAGAGCAGAGGTTGTCAATCACCAAGTGTACATTTTTTTCTCAAAGTAAAGCTAGCAATGCCCCCGCAGTAAATTCGGGTCATGGTGCTGGCCTTCTGCAGAGGGATTTAGAATGGACAAAGCTGTGATTACAGAAACTCTGTAGTGTGTCCTCAAACATCCCTTTGTTCATATAAGTAAAATGTTCTTTCTTCAGAATCTATTAACTAAGGATTAACTAAGGCTAAATAGAAGTGATGTTCAAATTTGCTGTTGACTACTTGAATTAAGAATGGAATCTTTGAGCTTTTTCTCTCCAAAGTTGCGGTTGTCTGAAGACAAGATGCCTACACTATTCAACACTAACATAGAACTGATAGCTGTTCGTCTTCAGAGCAGTAACTTAAAACTGTAAGTTTATATATTAAATATAGAAAATATTCAAATGCCAAAGGAGAAGTAAAGTGCTTACCTGGGGGAAGAGGCAGAGGTGAGTCACGTTTAGGCTCTCGAGTGTGGGCTAGGTTTACTACAGCATAGACCACTGGTGTATGCATTGCAGATTGCAGTTGGGGGGTTTTGGCACTGAACAGGGACAAACTCCAAGTTTTGTGAGGTGAGGCGAACAAAAGGAAGTCCGCTATGAACACTCTGCTGTTTGTGTCCACACCCGCCCACGCTGTTGCTGAGGGTTTCTTGATAATTATGGAACTGGCTGTTGCTTATGTTCACACAGGCTACATGTTCTTTTACTAAGAAAAAAAAACATGGAACATACAATGTTTCTTTGATTTTTTGGGGACAAAATTCTGGAAAGGCCTTTCATGTTCTTATTCCTCTAACCATCTATGAGTTACTCTATCAGAGCCAGGGTGGGTCAAATAAAATTTATCTTGCATTCAGATGTAAGGAATCCTTTCACATGAAGCACCTAGAAATTAAGATATATGGTATTTTACATTATGCTATGGAAATAAAAAATGCATAAAAATCCATGATGCTGGAGAGATGGCTCAGTACTAAAGGGCACAGACTGCTCTTCCAGAGGACCTCAGTTGGATTTCCAGCATCCACATGGCAGCTAGCAACCATCCATAACTCCAGTTCGGGAACTGTCCATAACTCCAGTTCCAGGGATCCAATGATAATTTAATTTTTTTAAGCCTATGGTGCTATATGAGATGAATTGAAAATCTAAAATCTTCCTAAAATATCTGTGCTACAAGGAAGTGAAATACAGAAAATGAAGACATAACTGTGATTAAGAAAAAGCAATCTATGGCTGATACAGTAGGAAACACACCAAGGAGAGGATCAGCATGTGACTCTCAGCTTTGTACTAAGGGCTATGTGGGTAAAAGAGTTTCAACTCTGTCAGATTATAGAAAGTGGAGGACTTAGGTCTATGGGATTTTTTGTTTGTTTGTTTCAAGTATTTCCAGACCTAGAACCTTAGAAGAAGGACTTTAGATGCCACAAAGTCAGACATTCTCACATTATAAGTGAGAGAGAAGAAAAGCAAGAATTTCTTTAAAGTCACTTTTTGTGGTAAGGGTAGAAATCTACCAGGTACTCATAATTACTTGACAGTAGATGCAGTCAGGCTTTGAATTGCAGAGGCCGGAGGTGTCTACACAGCAGAAATTTCTCTCCTGTCAGCCACAGGCCATGTAATCACTCCCCAAGATCACTGTTACTTAGGAAGTGAGATGGAAGTCTTTGAGAATCTCACAGCACCCTTCCTAGAGAGTCAATGAAGATCTCAGTGATGTTAGGTTTAGGAGAGCAGAAAAAGGATGGCGTTTAACCTTTGGAAATAAAAGTCAGAGGCAGACCTGCCACAGTCAAGGAATGTTTTCCTTTATTCAAGGAATACAGCAAAGGGGTGATAAACTTGTCTTCAGGATGAGGGTATTTGCAACGAAGTTCAGAGCAGTTTGGACTTATATAGGAGCTTTGTTGAACTCAGTTGCAGGAATTTGCTCGGTGCCAGGGTCTCACATCCTTGGGGTAACTGAGGGTCTTCTTTCTAAGATTATTTTCCCAGGAAGAGCAGGTGAGTTATCTTATGGCAGTAAAAGAGATAGGTTGGCCCTGTAAATAGTCTCTGTCAGTCTGGGGAGTGACCAGTTGATAAGGCTTGAGCAAAGGCCAGGCCACCAGTTTAGGACCGGTTGGCTACTTTAAGGACTTTATTTCTTTGTGGCTTCCTTTACTGAAGTTTATAGCTCTCCTGCAATTCAAACATTCTATCAAGCACATATGATGACATCACTTTACTCAGCGCTGGGCATGTGGTTCTGCCACGTGTTTCATCTGAACTTGGGATTGTAACAATTCTGCAAAATTTTCCAGAGTTGTCCATCTTGACTCATTCTACATATTTATAGAAAAGTTCTCAACTTTTGGTATAGAAATTTCAGTATGGAAAAGGGTCTTAAGATTTATTGTATAAGAATCACCTAAAATTTGGTTAATACTGCATAATCTTGCCACAGAAACCCCTTGCATGGTTAAGGTATCATTAGCCTTAGATGCAGAATATGAGTGTAAACATTACATGGTTTATGGACCAGGCTTAATAAAACAGCCCTGCAGTCAGCAAAAATTATGAGGCTGTATTAGAAAGAACAATAGAGTGAAGAGAAATCTGGCACTCAGTATTAAATAATTATATAAGCATATATTTAAATAATTTGAATGCACTTAAGTCTAACTTCAAATTCTGAAACCTGACTATCATGGATCCACAATGCCATATTTAAAAGAAAGGTTTGATGTGAGGTGTTTAGCTACAAAGTGTAAACTAACTAGAAATAATAACCCAAGGAGATCATCATTTGTCCCTATTCAGCATGAAGCAGCTGACAAACGACTTCTCCTGGGACAGAATATGAAGAGCACACCAAACACTGCGTGTTTATTTTCTAGCACAAAAGATCTTTGTTATGTAATCATTGTTGTACAGATAAACATAAAACTCTCCTGAGAATTCATACCTGGAGAGGTTAATTATGCTAATGAAGTCATTTGATTACCTAATTGCTTAAGTAATACTTGTACTGTAAAATATATATCAAAAATTAGAATTATCTTGATCTTGTCACTGTAAAATATAAAGTCAGTTTGTGTGTATGAGAGATTATAATTCAATATTAAATATATACTATGTGATATTAAATCTAATTCCAATGGTGAACGATTGTAAGTAATTCTGAGTTTTAGAATACAGCAACAGTAAAAGCAATATTGAGCATCTCATGGAGTAAAAAAGACAAGTTTCCTGTTTTGTTTTTATACTGAATTTTGCTAGGTTAATAGTGGGAGTTGAGGATTGTGGAAAAAAATAGGGTACAACATAAACATTGGATATGAAGTTTGCAAAAGAGGCATCACAACGAGTGTGGAGGAATAGTTTTGCACAAAAGGCAAAAATTATGAGCTAAGTGTGTGCACTTCAGGCCTCAAAATACAAGACAATTGAATGAGCTCGGCCAGAGGGCTCCCCAGGAAGCTGGAAGACCCCCTTGCTCCACAGAAGGACCACACTAGCAATGTATGGATGAGAATACCTCTGTGGGACGTCTAGATACTAGCTGAGAAGTTGCAGCACCAACCTGTTTTGAAGCCCAGAAAAGATCACAGAGAGAAAAAGGAAGAAAACGTTGTGACATTTGACATCCAACATCCTCACTGATGATAAGCAAGAAATGTACACAGATACAAAGAAACAGGGAAAGATGGACCCATCGGGGACGAGGAAACACTTCACAGACTAAAGCACCACAGATATGTGAGCTGCTTGAGGAAGAGTTCTCAGTGTCCTAAAGATGCTCAGTGAGCTGATGGACACCACAGAGACACAACTAAAGGGAAATGGTTCAGGGGCAGAGCCATCTACCAGTGAGAATATAGAAACTATAAACAGAACCCAAAGGAATTCTGAAGTGAAAATTGCAATAACTGAACAGAAAAGCCCATTACTGGGGGGGGGGGTGGAGAGTAGACATAACCAAACAGAGGACACAAACCGTGAATGGGAAGAAAGGACGTTTGTAATCATTGTGTCAGAGGAGAAGAAAGGAAAAGAAAACAAAGATATTATCAAGCAGACCAACATGGATATAAAGAGATAAAAGGAAAAGAGGGGCGTACAGAAACGTAAGTGTGGAGCTTTGGTGGTACTCCTGATCATCAACTTGATGGGATCCATAGAATCACTTTTGAGAGCAATCTCTAACATATATGTGTGAACAAAAAGTTCCCAGAAAAATCCTTCATCTTGGACTGAACCTCCTGCAAGGCTGACCAACTGATTAGCACATCAGTGACTCTGGAGCATTTGAAAACGTTGCAGGTGCAGAGCCCATCCACACTTTCTCTTGCCCTATGTTTAGCCCATAAACAGCCACTCCTTGTCCACCTCTGATTCTAACCTAACATCTTATGACCGATAGGATATATTTACTTAATAAAGAAACACTTGCACCAACCAAAAGTCCGAGTGTCATCAGAGAGCGTCTGAGCCTATAGCTGAGGTTTCTCCTTTGCTGTATCCATCCACTTAATGTTTCCACCAATGTGTCTGAAAACTGTCTTGATTTAGGACTTCTTTGTTAACCATGGAACAGAGAATTCGGGGTCACCTGAATCTGTGTTCCTGAGCCACGGTCACTCATATTTGTCTCCAGAATAAGCTATCTCTTACCCTCTTTGAGGTGAGAGTTATGCTTTTGCATCGACATATGTAAGGGCTTTTCTAGACTAGTTTGAGGCATAAGGCCTAACTAAATGGGTGCCACCATTCCATGATCTGGGGAGCCAGACTGAATAAAAATGAGTATTGGAGCTGAGGGCTAACATTAATCTCTGTCTGCTCCTGACTGCAGACCCAATGTGATCAGCTACTGCCTCAAGTTCCTACTGTCATGAGACTTTCATCTCTATGAGTAATTACTTTAAATGGATTGAAATTCCCAATCACAAGGCAAAAAGTGGTTGAATTCAGATTTAAAACACAGGGTTCAAGTATGTGCTATTTATATTGGACTTATTCTAGATCAAAAGGCTCACATAAGATGAAGGTGAAAGGCCAGAAAAACACATTCCATGTACCTAGGAACAAAAACTAAGTTCAGCAGTCTATACTAATGTCAGTTGTTATGACAGAGAGAGAGAGATCAATTCATCAGAATATACAGCAGTTATTAATGCTCATGCACAAAATCAATGAACTTCTAAATATATGAAAGGAACTTTAGATGAACCAAAGTGAGAAACAGAGAGTAATAGTAGGTTTCAATACTCCACATTCAGTAGCTGATAAAAGCACCAGACAGATGATTAACAGGAAAGTGGAATACTTACACAACACCATAGACCAATAAGATTTTTCCAGGTACACATAGAACACAACCAACAATATCACAATATGCCTTTTTTCAAGTGTTTGTGGAAGAGTGTATAGTATAGGCTGCATGTTAGTCCACAAAATAAGTGTTCTTAAAAAATGATTTATTTATTTTTATTTTATGTGTATGAGTGTTTTGCCTGTACTTTTAGCCACTGAGCCATCTC